AGGAGGGGGTGGGAGAACCAACCTGTCAATGTGGATGTTGGGTAATAAAACCTTGCACAAACCTCTGCCTGCACCTCCCTCCCCTGGGGTTGAGAGGAGCCAGTGGGGCAGCCTGGGAAAGTGTCCTAGGGACAAGAAGCCAGGCTGAGCCTCACAGTGACACTCACCTCCCCATCACCACCAGCCTGGAAGAAAACCAGCACTTCATGCTGGGAGAGATGAGTCCAAACTGACTGAGCCCCCCGGGCAGATGGGATGATGGTTACAGGACACCATGACCCCCACAGAACAGATTTATTGCCAGCTACTGAACACATCATCACCAAAGCAGCTGCCTGAGTCCTGCTCAGGCCCTGCTGCATCCTGTCAGCCTGCTCACAAGTCCGTGGTGGTGAAGGTGGTGTTGATGTATGCTACTTTGGTGGGCTCCTTCAGGTTCAGGGCAGCCACCAGCACTTCCTTGTCAGTGGAGTCTGTCGGCTGCACTTTGACCTGCTGCAGGAGGAGAGTGTGGTCAGAGGGAATGGGGAGAGATGGGGGACAGGGACACTTGTCCATCCCAGGAGCTGAGGGCTGTCAAGGGGGATGCAGAGGAAGGGACACAAGGGGTCCATGAGCAGAGGGGAGATGCATGATGCCATGTCAAGACACCCTGCCCAGTGCTGGCAGTTCTCTGCAGACTCACCTTGACCTCAAAGTTGTCATCCGCAGGTGCATTTACTGTGTTTTCATCCAGGGAATTCATGCTGTGGAGAGTGTAGGGTGGGAGGTAGAAGAGGGCCCAGGCACTGGTGAAGTAGGTGTGCAGGGTGATGGCCCCATGGCCTTCAGGACCTGCCTACAGAGCTCACCTGGTCATAGAGATGGAGTCCTCGTGGAAGCCCAGGTCATGGGAGGGATCGAGCGGACGGTTCAGAATGGGATTGGCCCTGGTCAGGGATGGGTGGCAGGTAAGTGACCTCCCATGGAGCTGTGGGGTCAGCCCAGGGCAGCCGTGTCGCCCAGGCAGGAGGGGTATGACAGCAAGCCCTACAGCCCC